ATAGTGACAGATTTGTGGGCCTGTCAGTCTTAAGCATTTAAAGTCAGTGTGTTTGCAGCAAGATCAGCGACTTCAGCTGCGTGCTACACTGCTGTCCACTGTACCCACATAGCAACTTCTGGTGTTAAAGGGAGAGTCCACCCGCATATGAAAACTCTTATTTATTCGCCCTCATGTCATTCCAAAACGGTATGACTTTCTTTGTTCGGTAAAACATGCAAGAAAATATTTTGAAGAATGCTATGATTTTTGTTCCCATTGACTCCTTTGTAAGGACAAAAAAAATTGAATGGAAGTCAATTGAACTGAAGATTCCAAATATTCTTCAAAATATCATATTTTGTGTCATACAAAAAAAATAAAGTTATACAGGTTTGGAATGACACGAGTATGAGTACATGACGGAATTTTCATTTTTGAGTGGACTATCACTTTAAAGACCTTTTTCAGATATTCAAAAGGTTACAGAAACAAAAGAAGCTTGGTAATAACACTTTCCATATTTTTTTTTGTATGTTTCCCTTTCAAAAAAAGAATGACACAGCTTTTCAGACATATATGTAGCACCATTCTTTATTTGCGAGCCTTACTACATGTATTTGGTTGTGAGAGTGCACACAGTACAGTTTTTGCCATTCCAACAAATTCTGATCATCAACATATGCATTTCTCAAATCGTGTTGACTTGAAATTGAATAAACATTTTATTTACAAAAGATAGGCCACAGTTAAAATAATGAAGGAGTGGCTTCACAACAACTCTTTGACTGTTCTTGAATGGCCCAGCCAGAGCCCTGACTTAAACCCAATTGAGCATCTCTGGAGAGACCTAAAAATTGCTGTCCACCAACGTTTACCATCCAACCTGCCAGAACTGGAGAGGATCTGCAAGGAGGAATGGCAGAGGATCCCCAACTCCAGGTGTGAAAAACTTGTTGCATCTTTCCCAAAAAGACTCATGGCTGTATTAGATCAAAAGGGTGCTTCTACTAAATACTGAGCAAAGGGTCTGAATACTTAGGACCATGTGATATTTCAGTTTTTCTTTTTTAATAAAATCTGCAAAAATGTCAACAATTCTGTGTTTTTCTGTCAATATGGGGTGCTGTGTGTACATTAATGAGGAAAAAAAATTAACTTAAATGATTCTAGCAAATGGCTACAATATAACAAAGAGTGAAAAATTTAAGGGGGTCTGAATACTTTCCGTACCCACTGTATATACACCTTGCGACGTGTAATGCGTTAGGCTAACTGAGACTTGTCATTTGCACTTATATATTGTTGCTCTTTTGTTAGTTTTGACTGCTTTTATTGTCCTCATTTGTAAGTCGCTTTGGATATAAGCATCTGCTAAATGACTAAATGTAAATGTAATGTAGCCAACATGGGCTGGTCCACTATTATTTTCATATCCCAGTGTCCCACAAATGTGCAAAAACTGTACCTTTAGGGTTGCAACAGCTTGTCACAAGGGACAACCTGTGCCTTATCTACCACTGAAAGAAACATATGTAGCAATGTATACCCTTAAAGGGACACTCCAAACAAAAAATTAAAATTCTGTCATTTACTCACCTTCATGTCATTCCAAACATGTTCATGTCATTTTTTTGGCAGAACACAAAAGGATATATTTTTAAGAATGTTGGTAACCAAACAGTTTTGGTTCCCATTGACTTCTATTGTATGGACGTATATTGGAACCATTGGAAACTGGTTAACAGCATTCTTCAAAATATCATCTTTTGTGTTTCGCAGAAGAAAGGAAGTCACATACACTACCAGTCAAATGTTTTTTGAACAGCAAGATTTTTAATGTTTTTTTTTTTTTATAATTCTCTTCTGCTCACCCAATTTGCATTTATTTGATCCAAAATACAGCGAAATCAGTAATGTGAAATATTTTTACTGTGATTTATTCCGGTGATCAAAGCTAAATTTTCAGCATCATTACTCCAGTCTTCAGTGTCACATGATCTTTCAGAAATCATTCTAATATGCTGATTTGCTGTTTAAGAAACATTTTTATTATAATTATTATCAATATTTAAAACAGTTGAGTACATTTTATTTCAGGATTCTTTGATGAATAGAAAGATCCAAAGATCAGCATTTATCTGAAATAAAAAACTTTTGTAACATACACACACACACATATATATATATATATATATATATATAGGAATTATAGAAAATACTTTTAATTAGCAAGGATGCTTTAAATTGATCAAAAGTAATGATTAAGACATCTATAATGTTACAAAAGATTTCTATTTCAGATAAATGCTATTCTTCTGAAATTTCTATTAATCAAAAAAACCTGAAAAAATATACTCTGCCGTTTTCAACATAATAATAATAAATGTTTTTTTGTGTGTAGCAAATCAGAATATTAGAATTATTTCTGAAAGATCATGTGACTGGAGTAATGATGCTAAACATTCAGCTTTGAAATCACAGGAATAAATTACATTTTGAAATATATTCAAATAGAAAAGAGTTATTTAAATTGTTTTGTTTTTGCTGTACTTTGGATCAAATAAATGCAAGCTTAGTGAGCAGAAGAGACTTCTTTAAAAAACATTAAACATCTTTCTGTTCAAAAACGTTTGACTGGTAGTGTAGGTTTGGAATGGCATGAGGGTAAATAAATGATGACAGAATTTCATCTTTTTTTGAGTGGACTGTCCCTTTAAGGCACAATTCTATACCTTTTAGGGGTAGATAAGATACAGAGTTGCCTCAGTGACAAGCTGTTGTATTCCTAAAGGTACAATTTTTGCATTATTTGTTTCTGAGAGCAGAAATGCAGCCATCTCTGGCCTTTGTGCATGACATCCTCTCTGCACAACAGGAAGGGCAGATCCTCATGTCGGAGTGCGATTTATTGTGTGCTTGTAAAAATAACAATTTCCATTCACTTCCTGTCAGCTTACAAAGACAACACTGTGTCTCTATCCACACAATGCTGTCTGATAGCTTCTTAGGTTGAGACACAGTAAGTGAATGGAAGCACAACCACAGCTTCAGCCTCTGCTCTGTAAACCCCAGGATTTGTATGTCTTATTGCAGCTAGTTTGCAATCACACTCCTTTTTATCAAAGAATCACTCTCATTTTGCTGTTCCTGCAGTGCTATTAAGCACCATTAGTGAGTTTATATGTGCTGAGGGAGACGGGGGAGGAAAGCTGCCGTAGAAGGAATTGTCACAAGTTTTGACCTATATTGTAGAGTCGCTCTAGCACACTACAGCTGACCAAAGCCTATCCAGAGGTGCTACTCTTAAAGTAAAACACCTTCTCTTGCATCTGTAACTTACAGACTAATGCAGCAATTCATGAGACAGTAATGGGACTGAGAAGACTGATCAATCATGGTATTCTCTGGTCAAATCAGGGCTCAATAATGAGGAAGTCCAAGGCATGTTTATGAATTTATTGCTGTCATGAAGTTACAATATAGCCAAATAATTTTCAGCTTTTACTAAAATATAGTGTGTGTTGTGGCCAGTAAAAGAAATGGCAGGCAAAAACACTGGCACAATAAAAAATATTTCTTGGAGCAACACAACTGTGTAAACATTGATAATAATAAATGTTTCTTGAGCAAATCAGCATATTAGAATGATTTCTGAAGGATCATGTGGCACTAAGGACTGGAGTAATGACTGCTGAAAATTCAGCTTCACATCACAGGAATATATTTTTTAAATATATTCAAATAGACAACGTTTTTTTTAAATTGTAATAACATTACACAATATTAGTGTTTTTACTGTATTTTTGCTTACATAAATGCAGCACAAGAAACTTCTTTAAAATATATATTTTAAATCTTATTACCATTTTGTATTTCATGTCAGTTTATTTAATTGTTAAGTAGCCACTTTGAGTCCTGATCACCCAGTTTAATTTTATGATAATGACCAGTGTGTTATCCATCACACAGTATTTCTTCCATGTAAATAAAAAATGTGAGCTCAATAAGAAAATGTACACCTGAGTGTAAAACACAGCCATTAAAGGTACAAAATATGCTCACAAATATAATCATTAAACAAAAAACACATCTGTCCTAATTTGTAAATGACTAAATGTAATGTAAATTTAAGCCAACCTTTGTCCATGCTACTCTGAAAAAAGGCCACAATAGAAACCTGTTTAAATTAGGTTATGTAATTTGTCAGCGTGCATCGATCTCCTCTTAGGTACAAACATTTATCTTCAGTTTTTGCTGAGGGCAGTTGTGATTTAAGATGTGTGTTCTAAACATCAGCCTAATTGGACCAAACATTGCTGAGACTAGCAATATAATAGACGAGTTCTCTTGTCAGACCACATTATTATACAAATAACCTGTGGGATTCAGATGACATTTCACGGGTTCAAATATGTGTGCTTCTATTTTCCTCTCCCTTATTATTCAAATATCACAGTAATGCGTAGGACTGTGTTCAGACATAAGAAACCATTCATCAGAAACCAAGTCAGAGGCTGTCAAGCAAATCCAATAGATTCGGGCTACTTTGGAGTATGTCAGTGAGACAAAGTGAAATGTGGATTCCCAAAGCCAGATTTGAGCTCAGGATGAGGCCTACCGCTGGGTTGAAAAGAGCATTCAGAAAAATCTCATTTTAAGAGCTGCATAGTTTTACATGACACATAATCTAGGTCAGTTATATTAGCCCTGGAGGTGAAGTCGAGCTCAAAGTGAAGCATGCTTTGCATGTCTGAACAGATGACTTCATCACAATGGATAGAAGGGTGATTCCAAACATCCCAGGGGGTTACAAGGAAGACCCCAAAAAAAAACCATCTTGACCAGTGTCACCTACTGTAAATATGTGCAACTGACATAAAAATCCTAATCAGAGATACTTAGGTTTTGTGTATCTGTTGACATGAATATATTGGGATTGGAATCCATGTCTTTGTTCATGCAACTGGAGCTCCTTGCTCATATAGATCTGTCACATTAACATGAGGCAAGCCCACTTTTCGATGAAATATGAATGGATGCATTATGCATAAAGGATGCATTAGGTGCTCAACTTTTTCCTAGCAGCACCTGTCCATGAGGCTCACCTTTGTTTTATGGCTTTGTCTGTAGTTCTATCATGCCACGCCCTTCCATGTGTAAATGCATAACCATAAAAAGAACATCGATTAAAAATCAAGACATAAAAATAAAAGATGCCATGCTGCTCTTAATAAGCAACAATTTGTGAAAGCAAGGCAATTATCATGCAGAATGGACATGACAAATGGAACGAGAGGAATACCGGTGCACGAGTCCTGAAAAGAAAGAGCTGTCATTCCTTGCAACAAAGGATTGCACGCGATCAGAGTGTTTTGTGTCCTACCTCGCAGTCGTACAGATTCATTAACTGGCTAACTATCCACTCCTCCAAATTCAGTCGCCTCCTCAGCTCTTTTCTGTCATATTTTACGGTCACTCGTCCTTGCTTCTGTGGCACTTCTTCTTCGGTACCGGGAGGTGTTTGAAAATAAACCCGGGGCTGAGGTGTCGTTTCCGGACTTGTTACCGCTGCCATTGTCCCTAATTAAAAAAAAGCTGAGGTGGATTTAATGGCTTAATTAATTAGAACATCAATTCAAAAGAGAGAGCTGGTCATGTGCACATCCATGCTGGCCCCCTTTTCTTTAAATGGAACAGACCTTTAGCTTACAAGGAGTCCGCAACGGTAGACTGGGATCAGGCATATAAGGAGCTTAGAAAACAGAAGAATTCATCAGACTAATGTGATGTGTGGCCGTGGTTTATCAAAGTCCATCTTCCCCAAATCGGTCCATCAATTGTCACAGAACAGCTTGTGGGCGCCTCCAAGCGAATCATTCGGATCGTTTGAATCAATGAATCAGTAAAGTCGGATCTTTTTTATAAATCAGCACAAGCACACTACTCTGCTCTATTTTACATGACAC